ACTGCTTACTAGTATGGTTCCCTCAATTGATATACAGTAGTGGCAAAAAGTCTTGCAACACTGCAAGGGCACAACTCTTTGCTCTCTGTTTGAGCTCAAAACTGCGTATCTTATTCAATTGTTTTTTATACATTGAGTATTGCATGTATAGAATATGTCTACAATGAAAACAAAAGAGTCTTTCTCATGTATAATACATTGTACACAATCTGCACTGTCACGACGCTAGGCTCCCGTCACGTGCACAACCATTATTTGGGTTTGAATTGTTTTTTGATCCTTCCACTTCACCACTCTTGTGCTTTTTTCCATACCACCCACTCTCCCAACTCTAGAACACACATATGGTGCAGTGTACCCCTACTAAAAAGGTCTGAATTTGGACTCTGCATAATGAAGGTGTCAGTGTGGCTGACATTTGCAAGAAAGTCCCCGTCCACTGGTACACCATCTATTGCACCATCAAAAACTTATCCCACAATCCCAATTGCTATGCAAACGAGTCCAAGACAGGTTGTCCTTGCGTTTTACAAGACCGTGATCTCTGTCACGCCACTTTACTCCTGGCACAAGGCATTCCCACAAGTGGCTGCCCAAACAATGCATCACAGGGCTGAAAGGATATGTGTGTCGACGAAAACCGTTTCTGTCTGTAGCTCACAAAAAGAAGTGCAAGTGGTGGGCTGGACATGCAACCAGATGGGGGCAGAAAGAGTGGGGGGTAATGGTGTTCTCAGATGATACCACATTTCATCTATTTGGCTCAGATGGGAGGGAATACTGCCAAAGAAGACAGGGCGAGGAGTTTTTGGACCAGAAAGTGCAGAAGACAGTGAAGCACGGGAGTGAAAGTATCATGGTGTGGGAATGCATCACTTTGAAGGGAAAAGGAAGGCTACACCGCATTGATCGGAAGATGGATGCAAAGCTTTACTGCTCCATCCTATCAGAGTCTCTTCTGGGCACATTGGCAGACCAAGATTTGACCTGCCAACAGATCATTCTCTAACAGGACAATGATCCAAAGCACACGTCAAAGCTTGCTACAGCTTGGTTCAAGGAGAAAAAGATCACTGTATTGCCCTGGCCTCCAAATTCACCAGATATAAATATTCTGGAGAATGTCTGAGACCATCTAAATTGCAATTTGCAGGCTTGCAAGCAGCAACTGTTCAATAAGGAGGAGCTGTGGGAGGCATTGCAGGAGGAGTGGGCAAATTTGAATGATGGGAGTGTAACAGTTAAGGTTACTTCTCACCAGATAAGTTGATAAACTGGGAGGGGTGGATGGAGATAGAGAGTAAGAGGTGTGGTGAGCAAAGTACTGTGAGGTACTGAGTAGTCCTAGTTCAACAGAGTGAATAAGACTGAGGGGATATGCCCTCAGGAGTGCCTCTATATATACATGAAGGGGAGGACCCCAGTTACTACCCTAAGACCCCTAATACCTACATGAGTAAGCAAAGTAATCTACCTTACTAAGCATGCCCTATGCCCTAGTGGTGCCACTTCAATAATCAACCAATAGCAATTGTCCTTATGACCTGACCCCATGACCCAGTCCCAAGGCTAGACTTGTTCTAGCTTGTTCTAAGACAAGGCTAGACTTTTCCAGAAGGTTCTAAGAACTATGACATCATCTAATGGAATGTTCTACACTATGACATCATAGTTCCAGCATGTTCCACAAGGTTCCAGAGAGTTCTATCATGTGATACACAGATAAGGAAAGGAGCGCATCAGCGCATCAGAGACAGATGGTGCATCAGCTCATCAATTCATAAGCGCTGAAATAAGTGCTGAAATAAGCGCCTGATAAGCACTAGTTAAGCGCCTAAATAGACACCGGATAAGTGCTGGATAAGCGCCTGATAAGCGCTTAAATATTCCCAGTAATATTGTTGCCTGGTAAGGCAAGTCTTGTAGAAACATTGACAATCTGTGACAAATAGAAGTCCATGTGAACAGTAACTATGACGTCAAACCCTAGCTATGGGCTGAGCCATGTGGTTTTAGCCATGTGGTCTTACATAAGCTGAGTCACGTGCCAGTATGACATAGCAGCAAGTAACGTGACCATGTAGAGCATCTAAGCCATGTGATACGGGCACTTAATAGACATGCAAGAAGTTAGTGTAGAGAGGGTTGCAACTGGGTTGTAGCCCGAGGTTTTACAGATAAAAGCAAGAGGTAAATTGTGAAAAATAGGGGTTAGTTGGGCCAACTTGACGTTAATCTCCCACCCAATTGTCAGCACTAAACAAACTCCGCTAGGCGCGGGCTGATGGCGCCAAACCGAGAGCTCGGCGCGGGACTTAAGATAATTTTCAGAGCGCGGCGAGCCCGTCAATAGGTGTACAACAGGTTCCGCAAAAATACATAGAATAATAAAGAGTACATTTTGAGTCTATAGAACTGATGCCTTGAGATACATAGGATAACAAAGAGTATATTCTTAACATCATAACAAAGAGTACATTGTAAGTCTATAGAACTGATGCCTCAGACTAAGGCTGTGTAGAGGGCTGTTTGGAGCTCGAAGCAGTGCGCGAAATGTCTGGACTTGCTCGATAGCGGTACCCAATGAGAGTTGGGGGTAAAGATTGCCGATTGCGACTACTACCATTGGTGATAGGCATAGTGCGACGAGCTTCGTGTTGCTGTACCTGTCGTGCAAGGTCAACAGCAGGGCGTAGCTTTGGCATGATGCGCTTCAGCCATTCTGTGTTATCTCCTTGCTCTCGTAGTGTTTGCGCAAGATAAGCAATAAGATCAATGTTTTTGTTGATCTCATTTTCCTCTTCATCGTCAAGCTTAACATGCAAAGTGTATTCAGTATGTTGTTTGATAGTCAGCATAGAAATAGTGCTGCTCACCTCAAAGCCAGCACCCCCACCTGCTCTGGTACGCATAAGGCCGTCTTGGCCTGTTGCTGGTGCCTTGTTGGGTGATGACTGAATTGAAGTTGGATTTGAATTGAGCAGATCATTGACCTCTGCATCTGAGTCACTGAGCCAAGGACGTTCAGCCTCAAGTGGCAGTGGACTGGCAGCAGTGCCTTCTGTTGGTAACAAGTAGAATGGTGGTTGGTAACGGCAAGACAAGCGCTTAAATATTCCCAATAATACCGTTGCCTGGTAAGGCAAGTCTTGTAGAAACATTGAAAATCTGTGACACAGCGAAAATAGTGATGAAGGTGTCTTTGGTGATGAAGAAGATGTGCGCCATGAAGTCTACAGGTTTGCACATGGGACCAAGGATCTTGATGCCGAGGAAGATGTTGAGCCGACAGAACATGGGGAAAGGAGCAAAGACAAGTCATACATCTTCTGTCCCCTTCCTCACCGACTTCCAATCTTGCGCTTGTTTGCTAAACATGCCTCACAGCACTCTCTTTTACCTGAACGACATGGCCAGGCACAAACAGCTGAATTGATCTACCGGGATGCAGTGACTGAAATGTATAATCATTGCAAGATCAACCGCCTATGTGAGGTGTGGGCATACCTTTGGAACTCTTGGTACTCACCAGAGAAATGGCCACTATGGGCACGGTTGGCTCATGGCACCAGCATTCCAGTCCACCGGACACCAATGATGGTAGAAGCTTTGTGGCGTAACCTCAAGCGCCTTGTGCTGAGAATGTTCAACCGGCCTCCATTGGATCTGGCAACATACGTTATCATCACACGATCAAGTCCTTCCTATCGTCTCACCCTCAGAAAACTTTGTTTTGACCGTGGAGGAGGACGCCAGAAGACTCTTACTCACATGCAAGTTGCCTTGAAGCGTGCCTGGAAGCGGCTCCTGGAAGCTCCCATCAATGGTACCTATACAACCAACACTACTCTCTGGACATGTGACTGTGGTGCTCAGAAATATCATGCAAATTTGCTTTGCAAGCACCTGGTCCAGGCTGTGGGACCCGTAGATCCTTCCTGGTGGTCAACAATCATTCGCCGTCACCAACCACCATTCTACTTGTTACCAACAGAAGGCACTGCTGCCAGTCCACTGCCACTTGAGGCTGAACGTCCTTGGCTCAGTGACTCAGATGCAGAGGTCAATGATCTGCTCAATTCAAATCCAACTTCAATTCAGTCATCACCCAACAAGGCACCAGCAACAGGCCAAGACGGCCTTATGCGTACCAGAGCAGGTGGGGGTGCTGGCTTTGAGGTGAGCAGCACTATTTCTATGCTGACTATCAAACAACATACTGAATACACTTTGCATGTTAAGCTTGACGATGAAGAGGAAAATGAGATCAACAAAAACATTGATCTTATTGCTTATCTTGCGCAAACACTACGAGAGCAAGGAGATAACACAGAATGGCTGAAGCGCATCATGCCAAAGCTACGCCCTGCTGTTGACCTTGCACGACAGGTACAGCAACACGAAGCTCGTCGCACTATGCCTATCACCAATGGTAGTAGTCGCAATCGGCAATCTTTACCCCCAACTCTCATTGGGTACCGCTATCGAGCAAGTCCAGACATTTCGCGCACTGCTTCGAGCTCCAAACAGCCCTCTACACAGCCTTAGTCTGAGGCATCAGTTCTATAGACTTACAATGTACTCTTTGTTATGATGTTAAGAATATACTCTTTGTTATCCTATGTATCTCAAGGCATCAGTTCTATAGACTCAAAATGTACTCTTTATTATTCTATGTATTTTTGCGGAACCTGTTGTACACCTATTGACGGGCTCGCCGCGCTCTGAAAATTATCTTAAGTCCCGCGCCGAGCTCTCGGTTTGGCGCCATCAGCCCGCGCCTAGCGGAGTTTGTTTAGTGCTGACAATTGGGTGGGAGATTAACGTCAAGTGTTGGGCCATCCATGACAGAAAAACTTGCCAGGTCCCTTGCTGCATCTGCCCTGCCTTATTATCACCCAACATTCTTCAACATCACACACTGTGATAATGAACATTCAAATTGTTCCGAGGTGCAAGACTGTGAGAAAACAACAATTATGTCGTTGTTAACTACCATATGCTCGAAATGAGGATCGAACTCATGATCTCCGGATTACGTAAGCAATGCTTACTCATATATATGAGACCGGCGCTCTAACCAGCTGAGCCATTCAAGCATTCTTGATCTCTATTATATGACTTGATGACTGATGTATGCATGTATTTTTCCCAAACTTTGGACCCGAAACACCCAAAGACAATCAATAACCCGAAGTTGTTGGCTTGTATTGTCCTTGAACCGGTGGGATAGAACCGTATCAGCTACCATGGTACTACACGTGAACTCTACAACTTTGCTACGACACAACGACAGTACCTTGACATTTCATTCGAACCTCTGCTAAACCTTATCCTACAACGCTGTCATCATACCTCTTCGAGTCAGCCCTCATCCCTAGTAAAAATTCCGTTCAAGCAGGAGGCCACTTTCCCTCAATGATATCCGCAGCTAAAAGCAAACAATCAACATCAGCTTCCGCACTAACGCTATCCACAACAAGAAAAAAGTGTGCTCACCGATTTCGCCCAGCCCATACGCAGTCGCTGTAATTCCCAAGAATCCCAAGTTCCCAATCAGCCACGTGCCAGTTAAAAAAAAAAGAGGAGGATACAGTACGCACATTGTGTGTTAGCACCCACATGCAACGGCACAACCGAGATGTCCACCACCCTCAAATTCTTCGTACCGTACACCTTGAGCTCCGGCGAGACGACTCCACCCTTTTCTTTCGGAAGCATCGAGCACGTCCCGATGGTATCTATACCCCCCCACACACACACACATCTTGTCAGAGACCCCAAGTGAATGGTGAAAAGAGACACGAACGGTAAATAGTAGCAAACGAGTTTCGGATCCACTTTTTGATGTCTTCTTCGGTCGACACCTCGGGTCCGGGGTTGAGCTCTCGCGCGATCATGTCTTTGAACGGCGAGAGCGACGCGATGTGGCGCATCCGCACAAAGTGCTCGTACATCAGCTCGAGGTCTATGGAACCACCAAAAACAATCAAAACCTCATGATAGCAGAGAGAGTGTGTGTGTTTGCTCACCAATGTCCTTTGAGAGGTAACGGGGGTCGATCTCGGGTGCTTCGGAGGGATCTTTCGATGCGGAGTGCTAACAAGATAGAACGATCATGGCGTCAGCTACGGCGACACAAAGTGGACAAAGCAACCGAAAAGACGTACGACGGTACCCCTCGAGAACCCATGATTCAGCACCAACATCATCGTGACGTACCTCTTGCCCGGCGTGGGTAGGTCTTACGCCAAGCAAGAGAAACAGAAAAAAGCTTGTCAGCACCTCTTCGCCTCCCCTGCCAGAACACAAACATACTAGGGAACGAATAACAAGCCGGGAACGAGATCCACTCGAACCCGGGAGATCCTTCCCCCTCCTTATCACTGTACCTCTCCTCCAAAAGTCTGTACTGATCCAACAACCCTTGCTTCGCAAACAACAACCCTTCGTCGTCGGTTTCCTCCTTGCTGTCATTCCCAGCACGGCGGCCCTTCTGCAACTCTGCCACTTCTTCTTCGAGATCTTGGACGATCTTGACGATCTTGGCGTGCAATTCGGGAGCACGAGGGGTGAGCTGCGATAGCGCGAGTTGGCCGATACCGACGCAGCCGGCGTGGAAGAGACCTTTGCCCTGTTGGGCCAACTCGATGTGTTTCGCGAGGACGGCGGGGTCGGCGAGGATGTCGAGAGTGTCGAGAGGAGCGTCGTTCGTTAGTTCTGCAACAGCGAATGAAATTAGTTGTTAAACGAGAGAAGGAGAAAAAGACGTACCGAAAGAGACACCGCCGTAGATGTGCTCCTGCAAATTCTCGCCGACACCTGGCAACTCGACCTTGAGCGGAACATCGATCTTTGCAAGGACGTCCCGACGGCCAATCCCGGAGAGCTCGAGGAGGTGCGGGCTTGTCAGTGTTCTATCGCGGGTTTCGCGTCAGTCTAAACCTCTGTAAGACCAATAAAGAGTGAAGACGTACCCAGCGGACAGAACCACCTCGTTGTTTGCCTTGACCTCGTACACTTTTCCTCCATGCTCAAACTCGACGCCTGTCGCTGTCACCTCGCCGTTGGGGTCAGCGTCAGAGAGGAGGACGCGCCGAGCGAGGGCGGTGACGAGGACGGTCAGATTCGTGCGATGCGCATTGGGCTGATAGAAAGCCTTTGTGACAGGGGCATTAGCGGTGGAGAGAGGGTACTCAATTGCAAGGAGCAGGCGCGTACAGTAGTGGCGTACGATCTGGTGTTTGTCTTGGGGTCACGAGTGGAGGGAAGGAGCCAGTAACCACTCGGCTACACAAACAGTGAGCGAGCCGCATATACGACGCATGATAAGACTCACATCTCCATTGTACTGTTATCGAAAATCTATTAAATTGTGTCTCTTCACACAAAGGCCAATATACTTACCGGAGTCGGGTTCTTCTTGAACCCATCTTTATGAAAGGTCTTGACACAAAGCATGAAACTGATTACTGTATGTGAAACCCGGTGGAACGTACCTCCATAATCCTCGTCTCGCCCTCGTCCACCACCGCCGGGAACGAGAGCTTGACAGGGCCGTCTCTGCCCACCTTCCACTCTTTTGTGTCAAGGTAGTTTCTCTGTGCAATATCCTCTGGCGGGTCGATGAGCCCTTCGGTGCGGTTCACCGCGGTGAGAAAGTTGGAGAATGTCCAGCCTGGATTGCCAAGCTTCTCCCAGTCTGTTTACGAAGTACAATGATCAAAACGAGGAGAGAGCACTTGGGGAACTGAGACAAACCGTCAATGTCACGACTGGGAGGTCTGAACCAGCCCATGAAGTTGATAGCGGACGATCCGCCGAGGCCTTTTCCCCTATAGCAGGCAACACATGTTGTCAGCAAAGAAACCATTTAGGAGACACGATGGAATGGGACGTGCCGTTCCCAGACGCCTTCACGGTCAGCGGCGTGCTTTTGGGTAACCTACACGAAAGCATCAGCACAAGAAGTGATGAATTGGAACCAGGGACACGGACCCATTTGTGCCTGTACGAGTACAACTCGTTCGCAAAATGCGAGCCATACATCTGTACGGCCACTGTCAAGGACGGAGTTTGAGCACCTGATCCGAAAGAAGGAGTGAAACAGGACGTACGGATATCGCGGTTGTTAAGATGGGCTTCGCCCGCCTCTAGGACGAGGACGGTTTTGGAGGGATCTGCGCTGAGACGGGCGGCAAGCGTCAGACCAGCGGTCTGCGTGACATTGATCAGTTGTTATGTCTGGCTGTGCAGAGCAGAGAGGATGGTTACGTACTCCGCCACCTGCGAGATGAAACGAAAGGGTGAACACTCGTGGGCAGAAAAAGACCGAAATAGCGACTTGCCAACGATGACATAGTCAAAGGCTTTGTTCGCGACGTCTTGAATGTTTGCGGTCATTCTGTATGAGTTGTGTACAATCGAGTTGGAAGTAGCGAGTAATTGGGGGAAAGGGATGGGACGGGGGAGAGGGACTCATATACGAGGACGCGCAGCCGACGGCATGCAGTGAGAGCTGATTTGGATGGGCTCTCAACATCTTCTTGTCTGATATCATGATCTGTGTGCAGGATGGGATGGTTCGAGGGCGCCTATAATATGGGCGGTGGTGAGGTGAGCAATTTGTTACAGTGGTTTCGAACACGTAGTTGCAGGTGATGACCTGTGTCAGCGGCATGCACAATTAAAGACGCGACTACGAGTCAATTCTGTAGGTTATGGAATTGAAGAGAGCGGTAGAGCTGTAATAGCAGCCGCAGCATCACATGTCAGTTGAAAATATCATGCATCCATGATACGCCAAAGTGGCGGTAGTCACTAGGAGGGTACTTGCCCTCTCATGAATTGTGGTCGAACTATGAGTGTTTGGTCCTGGATCAGTGAAGAGAGTGATGCACCGCTTGATATGTGCAGAGCAACGTGGTGCATCGCATTTGTGAGTTGATATGTTTGATAAGTTGTGAGAATGTAAAGTGCAATTAGTGCCAAGTGGTGACAGAGAAGTTTTAAATGGCTAATTGACAGGAGTATGAGATGCTATCGTAGACGAGACAGCGGCGACAGTGTGATTAGTCAGCCATCATCGCTTCACAACTCGGCGATCTCGTAGACGCAAGCAAGTACTGCTCACCACATCCTACATTGTAAGCAATTGCTAGAAATCAGGTTCTTGGGAAGCTGATGAGAGATATCACTCTCGTGGGATTCGTGTGAAGCAGCGACTGTTCGTTCCTCATCGTCGAGAGGAGAAACATGGTGCTGAACGATGGTATACAGACCCCGAAGCACTCGGAACACACGCCGAGATTCAACAACTCTCCCATCACCGTTTAGATGCAAACTCTGCGTGGCCCACAACACTCCTCCGACACAGCGCCCACAGCGTCCCCGTCGCCCTACCCGGGTCCCATGTCGGCCACCCTCATGGCTGTGATACTACGTACAGCTGGTGGGACCATACGACGACGACAAACCCACAGCCGGGGACGAACAAAGTGCCTACGATGGTACTGCTGCCCACACGCTGCCTTGTGGCCCACGTCGACTGTCAGCTGCCAGAGTAGGGGATTCTGCTGCAATGTTGTCTTGCAGGGTCGGGTTGTGATTGAAAACTGAATCTAAACGTTCTTGACAGAACGCGTGATGATCAGAGAGCGAGCAGTGTTCGGCGTACGACTGTCTCCATTCGCAAACACGCTCTCCTTGCTCGGATCGCCCATGACAATGCAAATCCTCACCGCCTATTCACAACTCCACCCTCAACAATAAGTACTCGTCCTCTCCCTCCCCACAACCAACACCTCCCTTTCTCCCCTTCCATCCGCCCTTCCTCCGTCTCTTGCCTCAAGGCCTGCGGTTTAGCGGTCCGACGTTACGCGCGTTTCGACGTTCATTACCGCGACCGCACCCACCACCTCCCCTCGTCATCCACTCCTGCAATGAGCACTCCTCTGCCACCAGATGTCCCGGTCTCCAAAGATGTCATGCTGCTGTAAGTACACTCTCACTGTATCGAGCGACGTCGACGCTGACAGCCCATGGTGTCACCTAGTTTGGCACCTGTGGTATGCATCTCATCTCTTCCAGCGCAATGTCG